TCTGCTTCTATTAACTCATGTTTGTTCTGGTTACAGGGCACATTTCCTGTACCTTGGCATGTTCGGTGATTTTGTTTGGGAACCAGACATTGTGAATTTTATGTTGTTGAGTAACTGGATTTTTTGGTCTTCCTTTAAAGAGTGATGGGCTTTGTTCTGGTAGGTGGTTTACTTACTTGTGGTTCAATTTGAACCTTCTGAAGCTTGTTTTTAAACTGCTTTAGGGCGACTATAGAGTACCCTTTAATCTAGAGAATAATTTACCCCTGGAGTAAAGCACAGCCCTTCGGAGTTCTCTGTTGAAATCCTACATGATCAGTGATGACTGTCCACTGTGGCTGGGTGGACCTTGACTTTGTGTCCTCTCCTGACAACTGTTTCTTCAGTGCCTCATAGCACCTGGACTTGTGAAGTGTAATACTGTGACTGTGTACCTTGCATGCAGCAAAGACTCAAGAGAACCCATAAACAGATTTCAAGAGGTCTCTTCTTCATACTTCTTCCTATTCAGAACTTTGTCCATCAACTGCCAGCCACCTTAATCCTGAACTCTGACTTCTGTCAAGTCAGTTTAGCAAGACCACTAGGTTCTGGGTGGGGTCTCCCTATTTGTTCTGTGTTCGGAAATTGTCTCCAGGATGAAATCCAGGGCAATTGTAAACTTTGCCTCTTTTATTTCCCCTCTCAGGTAGTACTAAGCTACCTGCTGTTCAGAGTCTGAAAGCATCGTTCATATATTTTGTCTAGTTTTCTAGTTGAGTTAGGTAAGTAAATCTGGTCCTTGTTATTCCATTACAACAAGAAGCATCAATATCTGGTTAATTCTTAATTTAGCCTAGAGGTCTCAGATTAGAGGTGACTTCCTACACCCCAACTTTGTTAGGTTTCCTCCAAAGTGCTCCCATAGTACCTCATCAGAGTGTTTACCACCTTCTATGGTAGCCATGGAGATTCACTTGTATGTATCCCCCTGGAGAGGTACACTTCCTAAGGGCAGGATGTCTCTGTCTGTCTTGTTCTGGCCTCAGCACTCATGGCAATGCTAGAGGCATGCACTCAATGAATATGCATTAAATGAATGAGTGCTGACTCAGCTGAGCCAGAAAACAAGGAAGGGAACTAGAAAGTCTAAAGTGTAGGTGAAAGGGCTAACTTAGAACTTCAGCACTGTTTATTTTTCAAAAGGTATGAACGGACCAAACTTAACAGTGGTTACCTGTTGGCAGTGGGAGGAGTGAAAGGTTAGGTGAAGCTTCTTTGACTTTTTCTTTCTTTTTCAAAAAATCAACTTTATTTAAGTATAATTGACAGAGAATAGAATAAAAATCTATTTGTTTGAACTATGCATTTGGATGTACTTTGCCATATGTGACCATTACCCTAGTTGATATATGCTACTTTTCCAGCATCTACAAAGTTTCCCAAACAGCACTTACTTTTAAACAAATTATGCAACTTAAATATGTTTTTATTATGTCTCTTTGTCCCTAACATGCAGGCTTCTTAAGGGCAGGATCTTTTTCGTTGACTGCCTGAAGTTCCCAAGTTCACAGTGCCAGATTAATAATAGTCACTGGATAAATGACTATGGAAAAATTGAAATTATCAAACCTCTAGAAAAACATAAGGTGAATAGCAAATATTTATCCATGTTAGTGTTGGAGGAACTTTCTAAGTATAACAATTAAATAATAAGAAAGGAAGGGGCCTCCCTGGTGGCACAAGGGCTTAAGCCTCAGCACTAAGAAGCTATCAGCAGCCACGGCAACAGGAGTTCAATCCCAAGTCAGGCTGACCCACACGGCACAACAGACCTCTCCTGCCTCACCTGCTGCTCCCCTCAGCAGTGTGTTTCAGTACCTTTGCCTGTTCTGCTCCCCACTCTGTCTCTGGTGAATCCTCTAACCCTCCCCCCACACCTTTTGCACGTATCCCAGATATTGCATGCATAGCTAAATAAACCGTAAAATAAAAAAGGGAAGCAAACCACCTGGAAAAGATGACTAGATTCAGTTATGTAAAAATGGACATCATTTCCATAATTCCTCTCCCCAACACAAATATTTTCATCCTATGAGAAATACTAGTGCTAAATTCAATAATAAAAAATAAATACATAAGAACTCAGTAAGAAACAACTGAACAACCCAGTAGAAAAATGGGTAAAACATCAATTTTTAAATTTAAATAGCATATAATTTTAATTTAAAAAATATTGAACAGCATAGGGTTAAAAATCTCAGATGACCACCTACATTTACATTATAAGAAGCATTTTTTTAAAATAATGTAGTAGTTTGTTTTTACATCATTTTGTGCATTTTCCCATCTCAGTTGTAATCCCTGTGGGCTTCCCATCACCAAATCACCCATGTGCCATCACCAAAGTCTAGTGAACTTCCCTGCCCCCACTGTTCTTGACCCCATTCTCTACTCCAAACCCATAAAATGTCTCTGGTATATAGGTGTTCATTATTATTATTATTTTCTCCCCTGGTACTTTATATTGCTATGAGTGAAACCATCTGGTGTTTTTCCTTTGATCTTCTCCTGCTCCATTCATGTTGCTGCAAAAGACATGTGTTTATATTTTTTGGTTGCTAAGTAATATTCCATTGTGTATATGCACCACATCTTTTTAATCCAATCATACACTTTTGGGTATTTGGCCTATTTCCATCTTTCCAATTGTATATAAGGCAGCAATAAACATGGGGGTGCAGGTGTCTTTTTGAATCAGTGTTTTTGTGTCTTTTGGGTAGATACCTAGGAGTGGGATTGCTGGGTCATATGGAAGCTCCATCTTAAGCAGTAAAACAGCAATTATTTTTTAAGATTTATTTTTATTTATTTATGCATATAAGTCTGGGTATAGGCTAGAAGTTAGAAGTGGGGGCAAGTTGTGCTAAGATTCACCAGAGACAGAGTAGGGAGCAGAACAGGCAGATCCACTAACATACACTGTTGAGGGGAGCAGCTGGCAAGGCTGGAGAGGTCTGCTGAGCCATGTGGGCCACCTCCCTGGCCAGGATTGAACTGCAGTGGCTGTGGATAGCTTCATAGTGTTGCGATTAACCCCATGTCACCAGGGGGGCCCTAGATAGCAATTACTGAAGTGTGTACTGGTGACATCTGGTGTTGCAGAGACCCATTCTGGGATTCATGATTATTTTCATAATAATACTGTATTCACATAAAAAATACAGTATATTTTCATAGTAATACTGTTTGCCTCTCTAGGTTTATTAACACTTGTGCTGATGATACTAAAACAATGGTGGCCATTAGCAGGAATCAGGAAAGTGGCACCAACCTGTCATCACCATATGCCACTCCGACCTAAAAAAGTCTTTGGTGATAAATCTTGGCCCTAGAGTTCACATTAGAAAACAAACAAACAAGGGCCCTAGTGGCACAGCGGGTTAAGCACAGCATAGTGGAGCTATCATAGTCACTGTAGCATGAGTTCAATCCCCCGCCAGGGGGGTGACCCACATGGCGGTGCAGACCTCTCCTGACCTACCCGCTGCTCCCCTCAGCAGTGTATTTCAGTCGATCTGTTTATTCTGCTCTCCACTCTGTCTCGTGAATCCTCTTGCCCCCTGCACCTCTGATCTGTACCCCAATCTGTATGTATAAATAAATAAATCTTTAAAAAAAAAAGACTACTTTTTAGAGCAGTTTTAGGTTCACAGCAAAACTGAGCAGAAATTTACAGAGGTCTCATGTCCTCCAGGCTTCCACACTTACACAGCCTTACCCATTTTAAGATAAACCTACACTGACACATCACAATCATCCAAAGTCCATCATTTATGGGTTCACTCTTCACTCTTAGTATATGCTATGCTATGGATATGCTTAGTGTTGTCTATGCCATGGAGTGTTGTATATGCTATGAATTTTTATATGCTCTGGATTTATAACATATGTATAAGTGTACAAATGTATCCACCACTACAGTATCATACAGAGTGGTTTCACTGCCTCAAAAATCTTCTGTGCTCTGCCCATTTATCCTGTCATTGCCCAATTCCCCGGAGCCAACCCTGCAATTCCTGATCTTTTTATTATCTACATAGTTTTGCCTGTCTGAGAGTCTATGTTGGAGTCATGCAGTCTGTAGCCACTTCAGATTGGCTTCTTTCACTTAGTAATGGCCATTTAAGACTCCTCCATGTCTTTTCAAGGCTTGGCAGCTCATTTCATTTCATTTTATTGTTGAATAACATTCCATTGTCAGAATGTGTTAATTTATTCATTTACCTACAGAAGGACATCTTTGTTGCTTCCAAGTTTGGGCAATTTTGGATAAAGCTGTTACAAACACTTATCTGCATGTTTTTGCATGGACATGTTTTCAGTACACTTGGGTGAATAGTACACAGCATGATTGCTGGATCTTAGGAGTGGTACTGCTGGGTCAGATGATGACTTTATTTTTTTACAATTTAAGGAACTGCCAAACTGATTTTCAAAGCACCTATGCCATGATACATCCTTACTGACAATGTATATAATTCTTGGAGTCAATATTCTTTTTTTTAAAAAAAAAGATTTATTTCATACAGAACTGGGGTACAGGCCAGAGGTACAGCGGTGATGAGAGGACTCATCAGAGACAGAGTGGGGAGCAGAACAGGCAGATTGATGAAGTACACTGCTGAGGGGAGCAGCGGGTGGGTCAGGAGAGGGCTGCCATGCCATGTGGGTCACCTCTGGGGTGGGGATCGAACTCATGCTGAAGTGGCTTTAGCTTCTTAGTGCTGTGCTTTAGCCCGCTGTGCCACCAGGGAGGGCCCCGAATACTCTTTTTTAAAGAACCCTAGCACTGTTCCAGGTAGTATGTAGGTGGAATGGAATAGAATGGTATTGAATGGATGGGTGGGGGGAGGGATGAATATGGGCAGTGGGGTGGGAAATAGGAGAGTCCTGACAGTAACCTTGACTGCATTATCAGCTGGTCATTGTCCTCTGAACTCCATATGATTCCCAAACAGGATAATCCAATCTGTTGTGAGCCTCAGATTGACCTGGAGATGCTCATGGATCTGTCCACAGAAGAGCAGAAGACTCAGTTGAAGGTATTATGGGGGGCTGGATCTTGGCCCAGGGTTTGGGAGATGGAAGCTGGAAGCTAGGACAAAGGGGAACACAGGCATCCAGGCTGTGCCTCCTTGAGTGGAGTGGGGAGAGCTAATTCACAGCAAAGCATGTTTTAGATTAGGGGAGGTTTGTCGGAAGGTGCTGTGACGTGGGACCCACTTTCTGCTTTTTTCTACTCAGGATATTCTCCAAAACTGTGCCCAGCCCATAGAGGTAAGAGATGTTTCATTGGTGGGGATAAGGTGAGACCTATTGGGGAGGTAGCCAATGAAGGGGAGTGTTTGCAACAAAGGCGTGGCCCTTGGTCTTCCCACCCCTCCCTGCCAATTCAGGGACATGGGGTCTTAGGGAGACTAGGGTGGGCAATGTGGTCGCCACTCTGTCTTCATCTTACCCCTGTTTCTCTCTCAGCCTTTTATCTCTGAGCTGCTCAGTGAACTCAAGAAACTCCGGAGACTCAGTCGGCCCCAGAATAAGTCTCATGACCACCTTCAGCAACCTTAGCACTGCCAGGCCTGCCCTGAACCTCTGGATCCTGGACTGAGAGGAAAACGACTTCTTGGGACAGACAACTGTGGAGGATAATCGGGGGGGATATTTGGACACCCCAGTGTATAAGTTGTCACACCTAATTCCTGGATTTTCTGGGAGCCAGTCATGGCCATTATCTAATGTCTTCCTTGGCAGCTAAGAGGATAAAACCTTTAGGTGAATGGAGTGTGAAACATATCTGTGTGAGGACGGGGAGAATAAGGGTGAAGTGATATACCTGAAGCCAGTATCCTGAGTCACCAGGCTCTATCCATATATTCCACCCACCCACCCTTCAGTCTGTCCATCCATCCATCCATTAGAATGCAAAGATCAAGGTCCCAGTTGCTTCAGTATCATAATCTATTAAAGCCCAGAGGCCAAGCAGAGGGCATGCGGCTAAGACACACATCTTAACATCACCAACAGAAGCCTAGATGACAAAGATAAGTCTTGAGTCCCAAAGGAGAGGTACAGGAAAAAAAAAACCTTGGAGGCATCAGGAAAGATTCATTTCCTCCACTCTAAATGATACAGGAGGTCCCAGGCTAAGGACTTCCTTGAGCTGGCTCCAGGCAGAGGCAGGAAGAGAAAAAACAGGGGCTAAGTAGAGGGGTGTAAGGGCACAGCTGTGAGGCTGGGAGTCAGGACAGGAGGGTGTTTCTGGAAATAGACAGTGGGCCTGAATGACAGGTAGGCTGGAACAGGAGCACTGGGGCGGTGTCCTTTGGGCATAAGGCAGGAAGCAGCATATGGATTCACTGCTCATGCACACATTATGTACTAGGGAGACTGAAAAGCACAAAGTGGTGGGCTTTGGGACCTGAGCTGGGCTGCCCAGCACAAACATGCGTGCCTACTGTGTATGAGGATACCAGGATGGGGGTGAGGACTGTCTCTGCCTGGATCCAGAATAGCTCAACGTTTTCCCTCATTGCACAGGACTTTGTTCTAGTCACTTCTTTGAGGATCCAGATTTGGGACATACAGGATTCAAGAGATAAATGAGGCTGGGCCCAAGGACTTAACGTGCTTTATTAGATCCACTAAGTGTCTGGGCACTGGAGCCAGTTTTCAAGACTCATCTTCAGATTCAGTCTGGTCTTTTCCCTTCATGCCTCTCCCTCCCAGTCTAAGTTTCAATGCTGGAGAGCTCCCAACTTCTGCCTTCCCTTTGATTCCTCCAGTAGTTGTCTTGAATGGAGGATCTTTCCTCCTTCCGGAGATACCAAGGCTCAGGAAAAGGCACATCTAGCAAGCTGACACATTCTTTCACCAGCTACCCTGAGGTGGTGCCCTAGCCGGGGGGACTGCCTTCCTGGGAGATCCATGTTTTCTCAGTGCTCGCAGACGATATGTGGGGGGCGATAGGCAGATGGCTGATGTTCTTTAAGTTCAAAGGCATCATGGCCTTCCCTGGGGAGCAAAGACATTTAGGTCAAGAATTCCAGTCAAATCTCGAGCCCTCACAGTCACACAGAACAATATCCCTGCACTCACCGGAAGCAGCGGGCACAGTAGAGGTCTCCGTCACAGCCAGCACAGCGTAGGACAGCATCCTCGTTGCAGATACAGCACCAAGGAAGCTCCTCTTCCTTTGCCTCAGGCTTGGGGACTATGTCCTGGGCCTTCAGGGACCAGAGGGTAAATATGGCACCCACTAGGGTATGGGAGGGTTGCTGCCTGAGCAGTTCGTTAGTAGGGACTCAGGCTGGAAGGGATCTGGGGGTGTGGTCTGAGGCTTTTCTTACCTCAGGCTCTGCTCTGCAGGACTGGGCCTGGGGCTGGACAGATGGCTCTGCGGGGATGCTGAAGCCACTTGCTTCATCCAGGGCAGCTTCCTCAGTGAGCTGTGGACAGGGAGAAGAGGTATAGCACCCACTCCTGGCCCAGAGCCCCCTCCCAGTATTTCTGTGCTATCATTTTCGTTTCTCAACTCATTTTCCTTTGCCCGTGGCTGCTGATTCCCCACCTCAAGGGGTCAGGGGGCAGGTCTGAGTCGCAGGGATAGTGGGGCTGCAGCTGGGACTGGAGCTGCAGAGTGACAGGCCATCCAAGCTCAGAGTGGAGGCAGGGTGATGAGGCCAGGTAGGGGGGAGGCAGGGAGGCAGGGAGAGGAAAAGGTGTGGTTGGGTGGTAAGGCAGGGCCCACCTGTTGCAAGACCCTCTGGATGGCTGTCTCCTTATCCTCGTCATCGTCATCACTGTCTGGGAGGTGATAGTCCTGAAGGGTCACTTTAAGAAGAGAGGTGGGACCAGGAGAGGAGTGAGGAGACCAGGAATGGAAAGAGTTTGCCTGAGTGGTCCAACTTTTGCTGTGGGAGCTGGTTTGGTTTCTAGTAATACTTGTTCCAGAGCCAAGAAGCTCTATTCAGACCCTGCTCTTCCCTTTCCACCCCTACAGGGCTGGGGGTTAGGAACAGAAGGCTCTGTACCTGAAGACACTAAGGGTCTTTTGCCCCATGATGGTGGCACTTAGTCCTTATCCATTGCTTTACCCTGGCACCTTCCTCCTGGCTCTGGGTGAGCTTGACAGACCCACAGGCACAGGGCCCACTAGCACCTGACAGGGAGTGCAGCATTTTGCAGAGCTTGGTTTGGAGGGGAAGGGGGATGGCTTGCCCAATGGACACAAATGCACGACTGTCTCCCAGCCTCTACCTCTATTGGGGTCCTGTCCCCGGAGCACAGCCAGTCGCTTGGCGATGGCCAGGACCTGCTTCTGTTGCACGTTCTGCTCCCGCAGCTCTATTGCGGCCTCGGCCAGCAGTCTGCTCTTTTCCTCCTCCAAGGTACAGGAGGCCCTGGAATTAGTGCTCTGGCCCCTTGGGCCGTCCTGGTTGAGCTGGTTGTGGATAGACGTTGCTGAAAGGAGTGATGCAGTCAGAGAAGCAGAGACCTTCTGTGATCCCCCATGAGAAGCATCTGAGACCATTGCTCAACTTTTCCAAACCATAAGTCATCAGCTTTTCATTCAGCGCTTGCTTCTGTGGCTTATATGACAAATGAAATGTGAAAAAACTAGATCTTGATATATTTTGTCAATCACGTCCATTCCTACCCTTCTGATGTTTTAACACACTGCCCTGAGGGTATGTATCTTGAGGATCGGGATTTGGGAGGCAAAGGCTTAGCTAGTGTCTGCCTTATAGGCTGGAATTAACACAGAGGTACAAGAGAGAAGCTGAAGTGTTGCTTGTCACTAGGTGAAAGGACTTTTACCAGAGTGGGTGGTTCTAATACGGTCATCTTTAACTCAGAGTTTCAGAATGAAGGGTTTGGAATCTGACGGCTTTGGATTCAAATCTCAGCCCTGCCACTGCAGAGCAGTGTAACCTTGGTCAAGTTCCTGAAGCTCACCAGGGTTCAATTTTATCATGTATGGAAACTGGATAGTAGTAGTATGTACCTCATAGGATTATTAAGGATAGTCAATGAGGCTGTGTTTCTAAAACAGGGCTTCTTAATCTTGGTTCTATGGATATGTTGGACAAGATAAATCTTTGTGCCTGGGGCTGTCCTGGACACTGGACACGCTGAGCAGCTTCCCTGGAGCGGCATCTGCTCACAAAATGCCTCTGAGTCATCTAGCACCCTCTGAGTCATGAGAGCCAAAAAAAGTCTCCAGATGTTGTCAAATAAGCCCTGAAGGGAGAATCATTCTTGGGTGAGAACCATTGCCCTGAGATCTTCAAACAACACCATACAATAATACTTTTTTATGATAACGGAAACATGCTGTATCATGGTCGGTATCTATGTGGTGCAAGATGGTAGCAATGAGCCACATGTTGCTACTGAGCACTTGAAATGTGGCTGGTACCACTAAAGGGCTGAATGTTTAATTCTATTTAATTTGAATTAAACTTAAAGTCTTCCTCCTCTGTACCATCATCATCACCATCACAGAAACCATTCACTGAGCGCTTCCTATGAGGCAGACAGTCGCAAGGGCTGATGAATTAAATCATTTACTCCTCATGACTTCTCAGGCTAGATAGGTTTTACCATCTATACATCCATGAAGAAAGTGAGGCTTACATAGGTCAGGTAAAGGTGAGGGTCACGTAGCTAAATGGTAGAAAGGAGAGCTACTGTTTGGTTTTAAAGCCTGGACATTTACCCACTAGGCTGTCAGTGGTGTTAACAATCAATGGTAGGTCTTATAATTTTGACTGTTCTCTGAGGGTGGACAATGAAGCCATTCCCATCTGGGAAAAGAGGTGGGGCAGGTTTCTGGGGAGCCAGGTGTTGGGGGGTTACCTGGGCCTCCTTGTTCCCAGCTCTCATCAATAGCCACCTCAGCTGTCAGTTGTGTCAGCAGATCCTGTGCCTGCTGGGCCTGGGTCCTAGTGTCTGGTGGCTGATGTGCCTGCTCAGAGGAGGGAACCTCCATGGAAAGTGGGGTGGGGGGAAGACACACGGTAAGGCCCAGAACAGCCTACGTCAGGGTGGATGATGTCAAACTCAGAGAAAGGGATTAGTCCAGAGGCTGCATAATTAAGAAGATCTCACAGTCCCCAACAGGGGAGCCACTGTTTCCTCCCCACCCAATCCTGCTTGTTCCTGGTTTCTTGGCCTGGGGGCAGGCCTGAGAATCAGGAGGTAGGGGTGGGAGGCCATGCCAACTCCCGCAAAGTACATAGTCATGTATGTATCTGGGCTTCTATGGGTCCTCACCCTCAGACCCCTTTCCTTTCCCTCCTGAACCACAGCACTCACCGGCTGGGGGGTCTGAGAAGTTGGAGCTCTGCCCTTCAGTGCAGCAAGCCGTGCCTCCATCTCCTGGGTGGAAGGAATGCAGCCCTGGGGTTCATCTCTCAGTGCAGCTAGCCTGGCTTCTATCTCTGCCTGTGAGGGCACTGACTCTGTAAGTGACACGGCAGAATCGTGTAAGATCCAAAAGAAATCCCAGTCCTAGGAGCCCCAGATGGTGTACATTAGGCCAACCTCCCTGTTCCCACTCACTGGGCTTGTTCTCCTGGCGGAGCCGTGCCAGGCGTTCAGCAATGAGTTGGTCTTGTTGGGTCAGTCCCTGGTTCCGGGGAGTGCTGGGCTTTTGCTTGGCTTCCAAGGCTGCTACACGCCTAGCAGGATAAGAGATAAGAGACTTTGAAGAAAGCAGAGGGAAGCATAAAGACACCCATTCACTCATTTCTGGACATCGAGAGCGGCCTTCAGTGGATGATCTTCTGTGCTGCTTGCCCATGTTGCTCTGTAGAGCAACCCAGCTGACCAGTGGGAGGGGTCAGAGCAGGTCTACCAAGAACCTTTACTGGGGAGAGCTGATGAGCTGCTTTCTAAGTCCAAGAGGACAGAGAGGACCCTGAGAGGGGGGTGCCCTCCTGACTCTGGTTTCTCTAGAGGCTGCAAAGAGAATCCACTGGCTCCCTTGTTCTTTCCCCAGCCCCATTTGTCTCTGTCTCTTCAGCACTTACTTCTTATAGTTCTGAGGTGGTGACCACTTGGAGGCACTGGCAGAAGATCCTCTATAATGAGAAAGCTAGTGTCAAAAGTCCTGTCATCTGCCAGTCAGTGCTCCCCTTCCCCCCGCCCCAAATACTTTTCAAACTGACCTCTAGCCACAGAGCACAAGGCTTCAGGGATGGTCAGCTGCCCACTACCATGCTTGGCTGAGCCCTTGTCCATGCCCCCATCTTACCTGGTTAGAACCTCATGACATTGCTTGCAGACTTTCTGTTGGGTGTTCCCAGCCCGGGGCACCACTGCATTGAAGTTAAGGCAGCCAGAACAGAAGGCCCGGCCACAATTCTTACAGCCATACTATAAGAAACATGAAGCAAAAGGATCAGTCTTTCACCTGTCCTGCCAGAGTCCTCCCTGGAACTCTCCAAGCACAACAGAGAGAAGACAAGAGAAGTTCTGACTGGCTGCTGGGAGAAGAGGAGTGGGGCCCCTGAGGTATTGACAGAGACAAAGATTGTGGGTAAAATGATACCTCAGTCACCTGTCTCACTCAAATGGAACAGTTTTATGCAAAATTCCCGTGCTTTCTATCCTGTCTTTAATTCTCTGACAAAGGAATGCAGAAAACAGACAGGCCACAGCCTATGCTTCAGGTCCCTGATTTAAAGAGAGAGAATCAGAGAGTGCAGAGCCCACCCTTTCCTTGATAGAGAACAAATGGAGGAAGGCAGGACTCAGGATGGGATGACAATAGCCTTCATTTATTAAGCACTAACTTTGTGCCAGGCACCAAACTCAGTGGTTAACATTCATCATGTGATTTAGCCCTCACAATTGATACACATTATTGGTTTTAATTATTTTAGTTATTTTTTAAAGAAATTATGAATCTTTTTAAAATTTTCTTACATCATTGTTCATTTTTGTACAATATTTGATTTCTCCCCTCAGGTGTAGTCCCATAATTTTCTCATCACATCAACCGTGAACTGTTACCAAAATCCCCTGTGCTCTTCCCTCCTGTTTTGAACCCCCTTTCCTCTTCCCTCCCGTCTTGTATGCCTCAGATGAATAATTTGCCTTTTACTTTTGTATACACATTATTTTATGAGCATCACTTATTGTTTTTAAAGATTTATTTATGCATACAAGAGCTGGGGTATAGGCCAGAGGTGTAGTAGGGTGGGGGGTTGAGAGGATTCACCAGAGACAGAGTGGAGAGCAGCAAGACAGGAGAGATCTGCTGCACCATGTGGGTTATCTACCTGGCCAAAGGATCGAACTTGTGCAGCAGCTTCTGATAGCTTTATAGTGCTGAGACTTAACCCTTTGTGCCACCAGGGAGACCCTGAGCATCGTTATTATTTCTGCTTTATATGGGGTCAGAGAAATTACATGATTTGCCCAAACTAAGGTAACCCTGTGAATAACACGATCAAATTTGAACCCGGATTCTAAAATCTAGATTTCTAAGTTTTGTGAAGATCTGAGTCCTTCACATGTCATTCATTCATCCTATCTATCTGCTTGCCACAACGGGGGCAGAGGAAGCCTGCAGTTTACCAGGGGACAAGAGACACTTTTTCTGGGAGCAGGAATAAAGACGGTAATCTGAAGAAAGCTGGGAACAGTAGGCTGAGAGTGACGGTCAAGGTTTCTGAGCAGAGAATAACGGGTATGGGGTGGTGGAGAGTGGTCACAAGGCATAACTACTGGGTGCAGAGAAGCAGGGTGGAGCAAAACAATCGGACCTTAGGCTTGATAGATCTAAAAAATGATGCTTAACTTTTGGCAAACTATAGAAGCACGCTTTAGAGTTTAGAACTTGTACCCCCAGCACCTCACTGGCCCCTCACACCAATCCCAAGAGCATGGGAGTGTTAGTCTCATTTTATAGAAATGTCAACTAAGGGTCAGTGACTTCCTCAAAACCACACCTCTAGAAGGGGTCCTGAAACCAACATCGCGCTTCTCCCTCCACTTCGCGTCTTCCCTAGTCCGCGATCCCCCGAGGAGAGAAGACTTACCTCCTTCTTGAAGATGGTGAACTTGACAGCGCAGCCGTAGCACCTACTCTCCATCTTGGTTCCCCATGCGGCGTCACAGAGTCCAGAGCTGAGCTTGCGCCTGCCAGGTCCAATGACCCTGGACCCTTTACTCAGCTCGGTGATTGCCCCCCACGCCCACTAGTGTTTCGATCTACCGCAAAGTAATCCGGACTAGTCACACCAGCCGGACTAAGGCGACGTCGGGAGCAGGGGCTTCTGGGAGTCGTAGTTCATTCACCACTTGACTGCTTAGTTTCAAGTTCGCTGCAAAACACAATTCCCAGGAGGCTAAGCGCCTTCAGTGGGTTGCGGACCGACAGTCCCCGCGCACGCTCAGACTCTAGGGAGTTGTAGTACGGACCCAGTCAGGCTTGGAACCATGGCGGTGACCAAGGAGCTCTTACAGATGGACCTGTATGCTCTACTTGGTATCGAGGAGAAGGCGGCAGACAAAGAGGTGAGAACCGTGAGGCGGAGGGCCAGATTCCGACCCGTCTAGCGGCCCTTCCGGTCCTGGCGTCTCGTCCGCGGCTGGCACCGGCTTCTCAGGTTGGTTGGGCACGGCCTTGGGCACGGAGTGAGGAGCGGACGACTGCCTCAGAAGGTATGCTCCAGACCTTACCTGGGCCTCACCAGCACCTCACCAGGAAGTGGGCACTGGAGGGAAGCGCCTCAAGCGGGCTACTGTGCTCTTAGTGGCCCTTGCCGAGGAGAGGCCGCGCGGTGAGCCTGAGAGAACACCGGCTTTCTTCTTGCGCCTGCGCAGTCTCGGCTTCTGATTCCGCTAGTCTTAACTCTGCCCTGAGGCGTTTCATTCACTTTCTCCTGCGGCCTGAGAGCCTGGGCGGAAGGAAGGCTGACCTAAGGCTTCTTTACTCCTTTTTCATTCCCTCATTTGAGCCTGTCGTTCCACAGAGTGATGCTAATAAAGGTGCCAGCAAGTGGGACACTAATGTATCTAAGATTTCTGTATCTAAGAGTTCTGTATCTAAGATTTCGGTGCTCTTCTTCCTGTGAATCATGGTGGCAGTTGTAGCACTGTAGGAAAGAGGCTGTCATCCATCAGATGAAATGTTCATGCCAACAAATGCCCCTGTACTTATATGCTGCTTTGCTCATGGACTGAGTGAGCTTGCGAGAACATGAACCTCCAGGGCATGAAAGCAGGGAGATGCATAGGGCTGTAAGCAGGGATGCTGATAGCCTGCACGGTTGCTCCTACATTTGCAGCTGAAATCCTAAGTGGGCGATAGGGATGTGTATGGCACACCAAAAGCATGTCACACATGCCTCAGAGTCTTAAGATTTCAGTAGTAGTGATGTCTAACACCTATATTATGCTTACTCTTTGTTGGGGACTATTCTAAGTATTCCACATTGGTAAATTGTTTAATTAGTACTTCATTAATAGTGAGAAATTACAGGGCCTCCCTGGTAGCCTAGGGGTTAAGTCTCAGTGTTGTCACCAATGCTTTGGCCTGGGTTCCTTACCCAGCCTGGGAGCTGACCCACATGGTGCAGCAGACCTCCCTTGTCTCAACTGCTGCTCTCCTCAGCAGTGTATTTCAGTCAGTCCTCCTGTTCCTCTCCCCACCCAGTCTCCTGTGCATCCTCTCACACACCCCCACCCCCACCCCCACCTGTGACTTGCACTCCAGTTCTTCCATGCATAAATAAATACATAAATAAATCTTTTTTTTTAAAAGTGAGAAATTATTTTGGACATTTCACACCAGAGCCAGCCAGGAAATTTAGAACTCCTGAGGAAGGCAATTGTAAGATATTGATATAAGTATCAATAAGAGAAATGACAGTATCAGATTTAGAAGAAAATACTCAACATCAGTGTGACATGAGTTGGGTGTGAGTAGAAGAGTGACCAGTCAGGATCAGGTGGGACTGGCTGTTGGCTGGACAAGAGACCAGTGGTAGTTGAGATCCAGTTATCACTGAGATGAGTTAAGGGGTATGTGTGAAGGCACTCTGTGAAGGGTAACAGGTGCTGCTCCTGTCTTTTAATAGAGAAGGCACAATGATAGTACAAAGGATAGCATGGTAAGATCCTTAAGAGGTCTGTAGGCTTAGTGCTGTGGCTTGTTAGAGTAGGCTGAAGTTTGCTTCTTGCTCCTGTATCACCTGCTGCTCCCCTTAGGAGAATGGGAGGGAGAAATTTTGAAGTCATGAAAAATGGTCAGGCTTTGGATGTGTGGAGATGGAGGAAGGGTATTCCAAGAAAGGGGAGAGTGGATAGTCAAATTTATCTGGAACCAAGGCCAAGAGGGAGGTAAAGAAAAATAAATCTTGGACAGTAGTTTGGGATCTTTGGATCCTCTGGTTAACTTTATTGTAGTGGTCATTTGTCAGTAGATGCAGATCCAGGATCTGCCTTGTCTCCTTGCGTCTGGTTTATTCTATTCCTACCTGTGACACCCCTCTGATGTATTATCTTCACAGACCTCACAGAAAATGGGATGATGATCACGGTGCTCCCTTAAGCCCTATTGCACTTTTAATAAAAGACTCAGTAGAATTTCTTACTCTTTTGTACATGCTTTTTCCTCTCCCAGGAATACATTTCTTCCCCTTCTGTTAACTTGGGTTACTTTCACTTATCCTTCAGAACTCAACTTAAATGGTACTTCTTTTTGGAGGCCTTGCCTGTTATTCTCTTTCACAGCAGTGGGGTTTTCCTTTGCAGCACTTGTTTGCACTTATGCATTCATTTTATGTCTCATGTATTACTCACCTCTACACTTTGATATGGGGCGTAGATTTGATCTATTCACTTCTGTAGCAGCTCCTTCCTTGGTGATTAGCACATTTTGGGCTCTTAATAAATATTCGTTGTAAGAGGGCCTCCCTGGAGTCTCAGCACTATGAAGCTCTCTGCAGCCACGACAACATGAGTTCTATCCCCCACCAAGGAGCAGAAAGCATGTGGCACAGCAGACCTCTCCTGACTCACCTGCTGCTCCCCTCAGCAGTGTACTCCAATCAGTCTGCCTGTTCTGCTCCCTACTCTGTCTCTGGTGAATCCTCTCACCTCCCACAACTCTGGCATGTACCCCAGTTCTTGTATGCATAAATAAATCGATCTTTAAAAAAAATTGTTGTATGAACAAAACAGTATCAACAGAGTTTCCTGCAGCAATTTGGCATGAGAATCAGGAGATCTGGGACATTCAGTGCCACTCTTGGTGCCTGGTATCCTCATATATAAGATGAGGGAGTTAAGCAAACATAAGACTTCAGGCATCAGTGGCCCATGCACAACTAGTATGGAAACAGTGTGGTGATTTCTCAGAAGATTAAACATAGAATTGCCATATGAACCAGTAAATTCACTGGGGCATATACCTCAAATAAGGAAAGCAGGGATTTAGTCATTTGTTTTTGCTTTATACTGACAGTTTTCATTTTATTAATCCATACTTTTAAAAAAAAACCAGATATTTTGTTTATCTTTTTTCTTACATTGTTGTAGTTTTCATTGTTTTCCCACCACTGAGTAACTTGTGATCCATCATATTCCCTTATGTTCATCCCTTCCTTATTTTGCCCTTTCTTCCACCTCCTCCTTTACTGTATGCTTTAGTTCTTTGGTCAGCTGCTAGTTTTTTTTTTTTTAAGATTTATTTATTTATGAATATAGAACTGGGGTATAGGCCAGAGGTGCAGGGGCAGTGAGAGTATTCACCAGAGACAGAGTGTGGAGCAGAACAGGCAGATTGATGAAGTACATTGCTAAGGGGAGCAGTGGGTAAGACACGAGAGGTCTGCTGTGCCACGCCATGTGGGTCACCTCCCTGGCTGGGGATTGAACTCATGCTGAAGAGACTGCAGCCAGCTTTGTAGTGCTGTGCTTTAACTAAACTGTTGTGTTACCAGGAAAGACCCAGGTCAGCTGCTAGTTTTGACTTTTTCTTGACTTTTTGTTTGGTTTCTCTGTATTCCACATATAAGTGAGATCATCTGCTATTTTTCCCCTTCTGACTCCATCCATGTTGCTACAAATGCAAGAGTTTGTATTTTTTTTGATTGCTGAATAATAGTCCTCTGTATAAATATACCACAACTTTTGACCTCTTTGTATTTGGGGGCATTAGGTTGTTTTCATATCTTGGCTTTTGTAAGTAGTGCTACAATAAACATAGGAGTGCAGGTTTCTTTCTTTTTAAAGATTTATTTATTTATGCATACAAGAGCTGGGGTTTAGGCCAGAGAGGTGGGATTGGGGTGAGAGGATTCACCAGAAACAGAGTGGGTAGCAGAACAGGCAAATCTATGAAATATACTTCTGAGGGGAATAGTGGGAGAGACAGAAGAGGTCTGCTGAGGCATGTGGATCACTTCCCTGGCCAAGGATCAGGCTCCTGCAGAGACTGCAGATAGCATCACGGTGCTGAAACTTAACCCCTTGCACCACCAGGGAGGCCTCCAGGTTTCTTTTTAAATTAGTGTTTTTGCACCCTTTGTGTAGATTCGAGGAATGTAATTGCTGGATCATATGGCAGATATATTTTTAGTGTTCTGAGTAACCTCCACACAGTTTTCCATAGTGGTTGGACCAGTTTATATTCCCACCAGCAATGTAAGAGGGTTCCTTTATCTCCATATTCTTTCTAGCATTTGCTGTGTTTTTTTTTTTTTTTAAATGTGGGCCATTTTTACTGGAAAGAGGTAGTACGTCATTGTGGTTTTGATTTGCATTTCCCTGCTAACTAGTGATGTTGAACATTTTTTTCATATGCCTGCTGGCTGTTTTCATTTCTTCTTTGGAGTCATTTCCTTTCCGTTCTTTTGCCCATTCTTTGACCAGGTTGTTTGCTTTGTTTTTATTAAGTTTTGTAAGATCTTTGTAGATCTTTGACATCATCCTTTACTTGTATGGTGTGCAAATATTTTCCCCCATTCAGTAGGATGTCTCTTTGTTTTGATTATTGTCTCTCTTGCTGTACAGAACCTTTTAGTTTGATGTAGGCACTCAAACATATATATGAACTCATGTTCGTACTAGCACTAGTCATAATAGTCGAAAGGTTGGAGCAACCCACATGACCAGATGACTGGATAAACAAAATGTATGTGCATACAGTAGAAATTATTCAACCTTCAAAAGGCAGGGAGACAGATGGCCAACAAGCATATGAAAAAATGTTCAACATCACTCATAATAAGGGAGATGCAAATTAAAACCACAATGAGATACCACCTCACCCCAGTGAGAATGGCACATCTTCAAACAACTAGCAACAACAAATG